TCAGCTGGTGTTGGTAAAACTATTCGGCCTACCGTTCGAGGCGTTCCCTATTCGAAATGGTTACTCCATTCTGGTCCTTGAACGTTTCGCTCGCAGGTGGTTTCCGAGGATCGGTCGCATGGATAAACCGGGACAATCTTCGGGCATTCCCAGCTTTCCGGACCTCTTCCATTTTCTGACTTCCTTTGTCCACCATACTTCACTTTCGGCTCACACGCTCACTTTCACTCGGCATCTGATAATTTGTCGCATCAACTTTTTTAGGGACCGGCTGGGATATTTTCCGAGATTTAAGCAGTGCCACTGTTCGGTCTTATGTCCAGTGCTTCAGCGAGCCTGGAAGTGCCGTGCCACAGTCAAAGCTCCCAACACTGTGGTGAAGGTCCGTCACTGCATGCCGCTCCTTCTGGAATACCAGCATGGACTCCTAATATTTATGTGTCCGCTGCTGCTTCTCATTGCTCTTTTCGGGTCTACGAGAAACGTACAACCTCGCTTAGCTATTGAGACGCTAGTGGACCCAGAAACCGGGCGAACCTATGAACCCCGGCTCCTCGAACGTCCACTGGGTGGTCCGATGTCGGACCTGAAGCGCTACCCGGCGCTGGAACTTCTGTTTGCGGTACAACCCACTCAATCCCATATGAATGCTGGCTTTTGTGGAGGGGTAGTGCCAGACCCCTGGTCGCAACCGCGACTCGATCCGATGCATCATCCGATACTAGGTTGAACTGAGTGTTCTTGAAGACCAAAAATTTCGGTTATCCGAAAGGCCAAAAAATGGAAAATGCGAAAAATGCTGGAAACATCCACCAGCTGTTCAACTTGATTCATTCGGCTGGTCTTCGGAAGCTTTTCGACAGCAAATCTATTAAGAACCAAAGTGGCTACCTGATATCCAGCAAAGCAGAAGGTTTGGACAGGTGGGCATAGTACTTCGAACAGCGTTCCGTTTGGCCACCTGTTGCCTCCAATCCATAATCATGGCCTTCATCAGAAAGGTAGACTGTAAAATGGAGCCCGTTTTAACCTTAGAAGTGTCCGAGTGTCTATCCGTACTCTAGCATTGTCGTGCTGCTGGCTCTGACGACCTTCCACTTTGTTTGCTCATGGATAGCGGTGAGTTCGTTAGCCGGCGTCTGTCTAACCTATTTATCTGGACCGTTCCAGACAACTGGGGTGAGTCGCTAATAGTGCCCACTTTAAAAAAGGATGCTTGCAGTTAATGTAGTAATTACAGGTGCTAGTTTGACTCCCATGACTTTGTGGTTAGAGTGCAAATTTGCTCCGTTGTCTTACGGTGGCACGTGAAGCATTTATCCGTACTCATTAATCGGGATTTCGAGTAGCTAGAGGCTCCTCGAGAGGGACCATATCCCCACACTCCATAAGTTGTTAGAGCTTCACGTGTACAGTCGACCCACAATCTGATTGTTCCTTAACTCCAAGGGTATGTTCTAATGATTCTAATGATGGGTAGCGCTGCTCAACACATTACTTATTTACGTCACTCCTGGCGTCAAAACCGCTCACCATTGGGTCTCAAGGGCCGAGTGTGCCAGGCTACCGTAAGGGCTGTGTTGTTGTATAGTTGAGAAACGTGCCCTCTGCGGACAGGTGGGGGGTCTTCAGGTTTTTTTCCACCGATGGTCCAGAAGCATTGCTGATGTCGGATGGTACCAAACAATTCGTAATGAGGTAGTTAAAAGACGGATATTTGGTTGTGTGGTGGGTATTTCTATCGCTGAAAACATCCAGCACCATGTGCTACGCATGCCGGAACGCCGTCTACGGAGACGAGTGCAGCCAAGTAGGTCAGAAAAAACCGTTCGGCTGTAGCACTTTTTCGGTGTTTAACTGTCATGCCGCTAGAAGGAAGCACTAGGTCTGGGATACTGTCAGGTTGCCCAAACCTAGATAGGGGGCTCTGAGAGGCAGAGGTTGGATTCGAACAACGGACCTTCCGGTCCGTAAATTTGCGCTCTAGCCACTGAGCCATCTCTCCCACAGTGGGTCAGACTGTTGAGGCATTGGTTCCGGAAAGGTTCCCTAAAGAAAACCCTATCAGCCGTTCGTTGTTTTGTGCTTCATACTCTTGAGTCAGAGGCTATGGGAAAGATCCTCGAACGAAACCGAACACTCACTGGCTTGTGTCGACAGCCTCAGGCCTCTGGAAATCAATCTTCAAGCCTCGACACCCGGTCTATCTGGCTGACCGCAGGACAACAAGCTACACACTGGAGTCACTTAACATAGATGTGAATTGTTTATCGGCAACAAGGATTCAAGGTGCAAGCACAGTTTTTGAGCTAATTGCCCCGTCATTCTTCACTCGCTTTCGGCCGCGCGCCTCCGGCTATCCAGCGGCAGGATGTGCAAGAGTTGGTATCATCACAAGTCACCGGGCGGAAGTATCTGTGTTTGACTAGACACCCGTCATTAGTTGCATCTGGCAACGTTTGTGAAGTAGTTTCACAAGCCGGGAGTTGATCCCTGTTTATGTCTTCTGTCTGCTTTGACACCATCAAGGACAAGTTTTATGCTACCTTGAATGCCTTGTTACGGCGGGTTAAAATCTCAGATATCGTTGTGGTTGCCGGATATCTGAATTTATAGGTGGAAAGACTTAGCGTACCTGAGACACAATTAGGTGGTCAACGTGGATTAGGCTCGGTACGTACGGACAATGGCGAATGATTGCTTCAGCTGTATGCTGACCGCAGGCTGTTTTTATGCAATACTCACTTCCGAAATTACTGGAGTCGTCTGGCTACTTGGTGTCCAACGACGTCTGACCAAGGGGCCGAAATTGATCACATCGCCATCAGTTGCCGATGATGCGGATCAATAAGTGACTGCAGTTCGTTTTGGGACACTTCTGTGGAGTTGTCTGTGCAGTTGTCTGGGTTCACATTTTCCTCCGTTTTCCAGGGCCATGTAAGATGTGGATAGGTGGCTGAGTAACTGAGAATCTGATAAATCCCAAACCGTCTCCCGGACTTTATTACAGCCGAGTCAGTCTCGGATGTCAGTTCATGCTGTGGCGAGATCGCCACACCTTTATGCAGATGGCTTAGTGGTTAGAGCGCAAATCTACTGACTGGAAGGTCCATGGTTCGAACCCGAGCTCTACATCTCGACTTCTCCTGTCTGGGTTTGGGCTCCCTGGCAGTATCCTAGCTCTCATGCTCCCTTCAGGTGGCATAGCAGATGGGCACCGAAAGGGTGTTTCAGCTGAATAGTTATTATTTACTATTTTTTACCTTTACGCAATGGCGGCAGTTTTGCCAGTGACACGATACTACCAGAACTCCAGGTAGAACAGTTTCACTGCTTGAATCTCGAAGAAAATTTTCCCACTGGTCCCGAACATAATTTGGCCCCAGTGGATCATGAAACGTTAAGTCAAACTGAGCATGAGCGCAGACCGTGAGGCCTACTGGACACGGAAGTTTAACGAAACTGTAGAGGCGTAGAAAGTAATGCATGTCCGGTACTTATATCAGTTGATCCACGTGACTGGGTTTCGGAAACCACCGGTGAGCGAAACCTTGGTTCACAGTAGTGCGATCATCATCATCATCAACAGCATGACATAAGTGTTCGACAATTGTGCTTCACTGCCGTATGTTAGTTGTACGTGGGCTGAGATACTGCCACCGCGCCCACACCTAGGCAGGAGGACGACTAGGGTCCATAAACATAGTCTCTGGCTCAAAAGCCTTATCGCATGGCAGCTGTGTCTCCTTGGGAAATTCAAGTGCGTCTCAATTTTCCCAGAACATTTCGCCACGCATGTTCCAACCTTCCACCTGAAAGGCTAGGGGACTGTGTTTGTCAGTCTGACTTACAATACACTGAGAAGATGCAGTGGTTATTTTATGGAGCTTGCCTAACCCAAAGATGCAGAGTAGCGCGAAGATACCGGACTCCTGATGTTGCTGCGCTCCGCAGGTGCGTCTAAAGTCGTATCGGGTTTTTAGTAGGATCTAGCGATTCTTCGATCGACTTGTATGGTTTTTGGATCCGAAGTCTTAAACCGGCACCTATGTCTATACATGGGAGTGCTGCATTCATACTTCTTTTGCAGAGGACGGCACGCCTTTATGCACAGACTGCCTCGCAATACGATTCTTGTAGTACGGAAGCCCACTGCACTTTAGCTGGCTACTCACAGGTCCTTCTTCATGACCGGACCTTGAGGAAGACGAAGTTCGTGCCAGTAAATTCCACCAGACTATAGTAGCATTTGGACACAACTGTCATCTCGAGATGACAGCTTGGCTGTGTTCGGCCATATGCGCTTGCCGTGTTGCAGTGTGTTGCCAAACTTGTTTATGCCGTCTTGCTTTGGCAGTGTACGAGTGCTTCACCAAATGTAATAAGGGATGATTTACGGAATGTCCCATGATGTTATTTGAGGTAAAGGGTTCTTAAACTGAGGTCCACAAGCCTTTTGTGAGCGCGTAAAGATTCCGCGTAAACCAACCGGCTTAAAGTGAAGCGAGTCATGATCCTCTGATGCCGTTCTCAGTACCTTTAAGGACGGAATTTTCGTCCGTCAAGATGGAATATTGAGATTAACAGCATGCTAAATATGAATGCACTTTGCCGTGTTCAGAATCCATTATTAGTTTTGGCCTTGCTGAAGACCAGTAACAACAGTTCACTCAATAAAAATGGTGTCGGGTAAATGGTTACCTCAGTTGTAATTTTTCAATACTCCTGGTTAGAGATGCTGTTTTTTGAGCTGAACGGAACCAATTTCATCCGTGCCTAACTGTATGAAAGCGGAATTTCTCAGCGAGGAGGCCCGTAACACCCAACATACTTTACAAAGGGCCTTTGTCTCCTGAAAGTATGCTCCCCGTTTTTCCTGGGTAGTTTAGTCCGGGTAATTAATGCTGGTCCACTTCTACCGTTTACTGTAATGCTATGTGATATGTGATTGCAATTATCTCAGATAAATTAATTCCGGTTTGATTTTCCTTGTCTTATAGGCTTGTTATTCATGGAAAGGGTTACGCTCTTCAGTGTGGACTCGAGTACTCGTTGCAGGTGGTGTAGTCACTGTTGGTGTAACTGCATTGGCGCTACCAGTATTTGCCTCTGAAATGCAAGCACATCCAGCTGCACTCCCTTGGTGCCACAATGGTATCCTGTCAACTTATGATCATGCAGCCGTAAGGCGTGGGTATCAAGTCTACAAGGAGGTGTGTTCTGCTTGCCACAGTATGCAATACCTTGCTTATCGTCACTTGGTCAACGCGGTTCTCACGGAAGATGAAGCCAAGGCTGATGCTTCGGAAGTGAGTCATCCTATCGTGTTGCTTTCCTTGGCTACGGGCGCGCGTAGCATCCCATAATGATGCTTGCTGTTCAGCACTCCAGTCGAGTCATTAAAACCATTTTGTTGTAGGTACATTTGCCTTGTCCACAGGCAATAAGGTATATAGCCTCATCTGAACTAGGTTTCATCTGCGGGTGTGCAGGTTTGGTGTGACAGTGACATGGTTGTTTTTGCAAAAACACCATTGGATGGTTAGATAGATAAAGATAAAGCGTTCAGCTGTAGCACCCTTCCGGTACCTAGCTGCCATGCCACCCGAAGGAAGCACGAGGGCTGGGATACTGCCAGGTTGCCCAAGCCTAGACAGGGGAAGTCGAGTGGCGGAGGTCGGATTCGAACCGCGGACCTTCAGGTTAGTAATCCGCGCTCTAACCACTTCGGCCATCTCGCCCAACTTGTCCATCTTGTCCAACTTCCTGGAAAGCGCATGAGAAACTTTTGGGGTGATGTGGTTGTGCTGGGCACATGCCCCTCATGGACAACCGATTTCACAAGGACGTGTTGGACTCCTCTCGAGTTATGCATGAACGCTTCAAACGTAGTTTGCAAGCTTTGTCGTTTTTGTGTCAAAGTGTATCCAGAATGTCCGGAGCTGCTGCGTTCCACAAAGACCGATCTAATGTACGCATCATGACTAAAAACAATGGACAGTGGGATGTTACCTCAATTTTCGTGTTACACAAGACTGAGCTCGGCTCCGTGGTGATCATTTGATTAGGCGTTTCGTGTTCAACATGTCTCAACATTTGTTCTAACCAACCTATTCAGGCAGGCTGACTACTGGTTGACTGTCTTTTCAGTGGCCGATCCCCGTGGGTGCCTTAGTGCGATTTGGGGGAGGCGGAAGAGGAGCGTAGGGTACCTTCATATGATATCGGAACTAGAGATAGTGCCGAGTGAATTATGCCGGATGTGTTCTACTCGTTCGAACGTTACGGTCATCTTGTGTCAGCTAGCGTTTGTTTATTGCGGTGCTCCGATTGCTTGTCTGCATCGGTGAGCAAAATAAATGAATCGGTTCAGCCAGCTAACCTTGGTCTGCGTTGGTCTCCGGTTGTGCACTGATATATCGTGATTACTGGTCGACAGGCTTTGATCCGAACTCCGACGGTCATTGATTTGTAGTATCATCTTGTAACGTGTTGTTACCACAGGCTTTTCAACGCTTTCTACTCAAACAACTTCTGACATGCCCACATACATGCTTAAGACTGACTCAGTAGGTCAGCCGACCAACGATGTCCTTTTCCAATAAAGTATTTTTTGAAATTCTCCGTGATCGTCATATCGTCAACTGCGGTAATCAAACATCGGAGAACTTGGAACATATCCCCGTTTTTTGCGTGCCACAGGGCGCTCAGTCTCTTTGAAAAAGATTATTGTCGCTGTCGGTCCAAATTCCCCAACACTGCTACATTTAAACGTAGTCGCTCAATCAGTAAACTTCGGAAGTAGGGCTAATGACGTTGTATCGTTCCTTTTATGTATGTACTCCTTGTCTGTCTGGTTGGCATAATTTGCGTTTTTTCTCGTCAGTGTATCGTCTCTAATGCGGATCGACCAAATGATCAAAATCTGATTCATTACCATTGCCGTACACCACCGCTTTTTTGCCTTGACATATATCATTTTCATGTTTCGTCCAACAGATTCAAGTGACTGATGGGCCCGATGACAAAGGTGACATGTTTCAGCGTCCTGGGCGCCTCTCTGACACCCTTCCTTCTCCTTACCCAAATGTCGAAGCGTCCCGTGCTGCGAATAACGGTGCCGCCCCACCAGATTTGACTTATGTTGTGAAGGCTCGCCATGGAAAGGAAGATTATGTCTTCCATCTATTAACCGGTAAGACTGGCAAACTTTTCCCCTCCGTGACATTCTTTTTTGACGGAAAAGACTGTGGTTTTTGCGTGGGGTTTGAACTTCGGAACACACTAAAATTCCGACCGGCGATTGAGTATGTATTACATAGTTTGAATGTTCGAATAGACTTCCCCTAGAAAACCTATGCACCGATGATGCAGTGCGCACCGATGTGTGTGATCCAAACACTCGGAATCCGAATTGTGTTTCCTTTTTAAGCGTAACGGATCTCTATCTCTCCTCTTGGGTCCGTGGAGATAGCTATCTATTGTTTTTACTGCGCACCACGAACAACATACTCCGGTTAAGAATAAGTTGAAACAAAGCACGATAAATACCGATAACCATATTTTGTGTATGATATAATTGCCAATGTAGAATAAGCGATCACTTATGACGCGATGTCTTATGAGTGTTTCAGTTGTTACCACCACGACTGTTGTGTCAGTGGTGAGCTAATTGACTTTTGAGATGGAATAAACGATTGCTAGTGGCGTCCTAAGATATTGATCTCCAGCGGGTCACCAGTAGTTCTGGTGGGATCATAACGGGATCTGGTAGAGTAAAAACTGATGTGTTCAATCCATCGAACGTGGTTGATGTGTTCCTCATAATTCTGATGAAGTGTAATGCGAGGTCGATAGGTAATAGTGCCACAAAACCAGTTTGTCGTCTAACCAGACCAGGAATTTGACGCAAACTAAAACGTGGAATATTTTGGTACTGATCAATGTGCGATTCTGGAGAGCATCGTCGTCGTGCGACGAAGACTGGTGGATAGCTTTACTGTCAGATAAATACAGAAGACGATTGAAGGCATATTTGTGACATGAGGTGGATTTTGTCGACCACTCTCTTCCAAGGAGCGAATAATTCACATTCTAGGGATGTTTACTCCCTCAAAGACTGTTGTAGTAGTGTACTTTTTGCTCGCAGGCGAAGCGAATGAGAGATCCATTAATTAGAGTCTTGTTTTTTCACAATTCTTTGCACGTCGACTCCTTTTTTTCAATATTCCTAGGCTATTGTGAACCTCCTGCTGGCCGAAACGTTGCCGAAGGCCAGTACTACAACCCTTATTTCCCAGGTGGAGCGATCAGTATGGCTCGACCGCTGTATGATGATATGATTCAGTATGCAGATGGAACACCTGCAACAACCAGTCAGATGGCCAAAGATGTTGTGAGCTTTCTCTGTTGGTCCTCCGACAGAAACCATGATCAGCGCAAGCGGTTTTTGTTCAAGGTGAGCGCTAATTTTTGTTGTTGCTTTCTTAGTGCGAACTTAACGCACAAGAAACGAGCAAAGATAGCCCTCCAGTGACTCTCAACTTTGACACGTTTCTTACCGTATGGTCCTCCCTTTGACGTTCCAGGTTGGTTATCTTTCCTACATGTGGCTGATCCCAGGTTACACCTTTGGGGGCTTTTTCGTTTTCATAGATGCCACACTGAATGAGCAATCGCCCCATTGGTTTCACTGGCGACAGTGCAGTGCTTCTTGGCCTTCCACTCTACACTGGCTTAGTTTTGGACTACAAAGTGAACATAGGAAATATCGTTTCTCTTCGTTTTTGTCAATTTATCTATGTATAGCTAATAGCAGTTTTTTCGATGCACTTTTTCGTTCACTGAATACCTACTGGAATAAATTAGCAACTAAATTGTATGTACACGGAAGAAATCTCAAATCTATGAGTGAGCACATGCACTTGTTATTTTCTACTGAATCGCTTAAGAACCGTAACGCACGGATATTTTGGGTTGTTATGTGATTCGTTCAGCAACTTTTGCTCACGATAGCCCGTAGTTCAGGTGCACGTCACCCATTTCACCCGCATGGCATTTTTTGCCTGGACGTTTACCACCAATCAACGCTGCTTTGTTTCCGGCGTCTGTGTGACCATACTCAAATCGCATGAGAAGTTTTCCTAAGCACAACAATTTCTCAAACAGTGTTAGGTCTAGCTCAGTTGCATGCGTTCGAACACAGTCATCATCCTCGTCAGCATGACATCAGTGTTCAACAATGATGCTTCGCTACCATATGCGCCTGCGACGTACAGACAGCAAACCCAGATGGCTGAACGGATAGGCTTGTACCCATGAGTGTGAGCACACGTGACTTAGCAGCGTGTGGCTATTTTCGCCGAATATACATTTGCATTCTTGTCCGGTTATTGCGTACAACCTAGTGGAGGTGCACTGCAGTTCTTACAAAGTCGCTCTCATCAATCGCCATTGTTAACTGAGAAATATAAGTGGGTACACCGCTCTTATTCATTCATCTAGTAAGACGACACCCTCACCTTTCCTCGCCCGCCAGTTCACGCAAACGCTTTTCACATTTTGTCCCTATTGTGTCGTGTTTCTCTAGATACCCGTCACACCTACCAAATGATTTAGCACGCTTTGATAGATGTATCGTAAAAAGAGCGCTGGCTTCATGGATTTCCTGTCACTGTCAGTGTGTCGAAATATGGGTAGTTTCGGTGCGTTTACTGGGGATTGTTCAGAGCTCGGCGAACAGATCAACGGCTACCTGACTAACCATTATCTGCCACTACTACTCTTCCCCCGTTGCAGTATCAGTCAATAACCAATTATTTGCTGCTGTATTTCGAACTGAGTCTCTTCTCATCTGGATTCGGGTGGCAAAGAAGCATAGCATATGTGACCTCCGTACAAAAGATATCTTTCTTCAGAGTGTACTGGCCTGGCAGGTGTTCTCAACCTGTGCTGCTAAGCAATTAGTAAAACTGATTGATGTCGAAGATTCTGATGCGTAGTTATTGCCCCAGCAGTATAGGACAGTTCAACAGGAAAAAGCAGCTATTCACACTTGTCACTTCATTATGAGCTGGAACAGGTTGGTCCCGTGAGTCATACTAGTACGCCAAGCGTGCACCAAGCACTTATCGTAGTGCGGCCTATAGACACAGTTGAAAATCATTCCGATCAGGTGGCAGGCACCCTAGGATGGTACCGTAGGTTCGTTGCATCCATTTTCCACTTTGTTATTGCACGTTAGTTCCCCTAAAGCACATTCCGGTTTATTCTGGGTTTCGTTTCGGATGGTGCTGCTGATCAAAAGTCGTCTCGTTTCGTTCGTTAATAGTAAAGTTATGGTGAGAAACGGGTGAACCTATAATCTTGTCGTGTGCCGAATCCCAAATACCGTTAATTCATTTATATGCCCCTTCAGCAGATTTCTTTACAGAACTCGATTGAAATTGCGAACTCAAACCAACCTGCCAAAGTGACGATGCCTTGCGAATCCGTAGAATGTCGTGGGTAGTGGCAGCCGGAACACCCTCATCAAATGTTAGTGCCGTATCTATCTAGGCTTTCTAGAAAGAAGTCACGATGGTGCTCACGCGGGCGACCTCTTACGGACCCTTTTTGTTTCAATACAGAATTATCGATCGAGACAGCAGGAACATGATAAGTTTACACCATTTCAGGGCCTGAACACGACGGACGCTTCTGATGGAGACTTCTGCGGGGCCATTATCAGCAGAATAGTGTTTGTGTTGGAGATGCCCTGTTACATCAAATACTCACTATTTCGCTTGAAACATCGCCGATGCTATGTTTCTTTTTCAATGCCCTGATTTCGTTATGATACCGCTCTCTCCTGCCATAACTTTTTTTTTCGGGAGACGGAAGAGAGCGTTAGTAGAAGGTGAAATTCACTCTCGCTCACAGTTCTTGCCAAATCATCTCTCCTTTTAATTCCAGGCTCTCATCGTCATGGCTATAGCAGTAGCTGTTGTGGGTGTAGCCAAACGGAAGCGTTGGAGCAATATAAAGTCACGCAAGCTTGTGTATAAGAACCGCCCCATGCCCAAGGATGTTTGACTGACTGACTTTCTTAGCACGTTTTTCTGCTCCTTTTATTGTCTCGCACCTCTTTGTTCCCAGGCCGTCTACCGCTCCCACTCAACCGTTCTGTCCCTTTCTTTCCCAATGGTGGATATGTGACTGTTTCTTCGCTGGTTTCTGTCTACTTTCAGATCTTCAGTTGCAGGCACGCATTGTTCTCCCGTTTTTATACGGCCAAGTTTCTGTGCTTTTGTTCTAAGCACTGCCCCACTGCAAATGAGTACTTTAGACTAATGCGCTAGGAAAAACATAGACAACCGTGAACACTTTCTTATAATTTTTTTTGGGTGTCTTTCTCTACGCAGTCCTACGAGGTATTTGGATTTCGCTCTGCTCATGGTCACTTTGTGGCTGGATTTTCAGCCGACGTTTAGAGAATAGCTACGTGGAGATCGACATGGGTTTTTAGTACTGATACCCATTTACTGCAGGTAATACGCGCCGAGTATCTCAGTAAGTGTGTGTTGGATGTTTCAGGACTGCGTATACGTCATCCTGCCTAGTTATTACCACAAAGTACACATGTGTTTGTCGTCATGATACTTCCAGGCACGGCTTGTCCACTAGCGATCTTTGCTAAAATTTATTCGAGTGATTTCGGCGCAGTTTGTTCGTACAGCTATTCTGTCAGTGTCTGTAGCAGACAAGTATCTCCAGCTAAACACCTTGAAAAAACACTTGACAAACGAAGTCCGGTACCGGGCCAGTTCACTCGTTGCCATAAAAAGTCGGAATACCCCCCACCCCAAAACGCACTCACAGTTGGGAGTCAGTCCCTCCAACTTTTCGGTTCGTCCTCAGGTTCACTAAAGTTCATTATAAAAGCTCACGGGTGGGGAAGCATCACAGAACACTACGATCAGTTCCCGTCGATCGACAGGGAAAAAGTCATCCCTTTGTCGAAGCCGACCATAATTGTCGGTAGACAACTCATCGCATCCACGCAGGGAACAACCAGAGAAGACAACTTAGGTAACACGAAGGTCCCTCACAGCGATCCCCGTCGAGGAAACAACTTTCAGAACCGATATGTTTTCTGGTTCACCCAAATGGTAGATTTGCTGTTCAAGAGAAAATTCTTTATACTATTGACTCTTGTCCCCTAGTTGGCTGCCAAGCTAAACGGAGAATGTCATAAGCATTGCTAATGTGCTTGGCTTTTTTGCCTTGGATACATACACAACGTCACTCACTGGAGCTTCACTGAATATGTAGTGAGGCCGAGACATTGCGAGAAACGCCACACCCTAATCAAATGTATGACGACCACCACTGTAAGCGGAAATGCAGAATACTTGAACTCATCTGTGTTCTTGTGTATTTCCTCACGATACTGCTCGCCAGTGCTAGTTCAATGACCGAACTAGGTTACCGTCACTTACTGGTTGTTGACGTGTTAGTCGGTCTTGAAAACGTTCCGTCACCAGTCGAAGAACCGTCATCATTACGCACTGAATGAGTCAACGTAATCAACCCGGAGAAGGGACATGTGATCTCTGTCACTAAAATCAGCTATCGACCAACATCCCTGATAAATGTGACCCTCGGGCAGCGAAACGTCGGAGTATATAACTTAAATCGGTGCCTCTGTTTTGTTCATTGATGGACACGACTGACGCAGATCCATGCCTGTGCAATTCAGCCAAGCCATACATGATTCGAAAACCCACGAAAGACAATAATTCCGTTCTGACGAGCTCCTCATATTGACCATCTGCCGCATGGGAATGAACCAGTCTATTGGATGTTTCGAGTTGCAGTTTCCAGAGCACGGTGGTCGGCGTCAAGACTACTGCACGCACTGCTGTACGAATGATAGAAACAAAACTCAAAGTGATTTAAGCACTCTCACACAGACAGGTAAGCGAATAGTAATCCACACTAGCTTACAACGAACTACTATCTAATGTAACTTACAAATAAAATTAGAGTCTGCTGGCTGGTAACTGGTGATGGTTCGGATAAATTAAGTGATACAACAGAAATAACCACAATGAAAACAAGACTGACCGACCAGTCGCTAATCGATCGTAGTAAACATCCGATCATTACATAACGGGTAGTAGGAAGGGGTGTCGCTGTGTGTTGAAGTAACCTGTAACTACTGTAACTCGATAAACTATAAGTTTTATCCTTTGCCCCATGTCAACCGATGTGTGCGTCTTCACAAGCCTAACGGGTTAGCACTGCGACGGTTTCAGTCACGCGGCTAGTTAACAGCAACCTGACGGATGCACGCTGAAAATCCTTACTTTATTCTTCACACACGTTTGTTCCCAATAGCAGGATGTTGGACATCAGGGAATGTCCTAGATGATTTAATTGGAGTGGCTGCCTGGATAGAGCCGTTTTCGATCAGTAAGTCATCCCTCAAAAAGCTGCAGCCTACCTTTTGTGGACATTTCTGTTGCTCGTGATTTCCTACAAAGTCACTCAATTGTCTGTACATACCAGAAGAGTCACCCTTCGACTTGATATTCTCGATTTCAAGTGAAAAACCGTATGTATAAAAAATACAGTCTGACAGATGGAGTTAATGATTCAGTATGGATCAGCATCATCTGGAAGCTTCCAAGTTTTTGGACACTTCGAAATTGGGGGTCGGACGTTGCATGAGTGGGGCTAACTGGAAGCCAGTATATTTCAAGAAAATTTGAAACCATCTGAACGCTCAGCAACACTGGATTGCTTTGTTGGCGACAAGTCCCAGGGAAATAAAATGGAGTAAAATCACGCAAACTAACGTAAATGGCCCAGATTTGAATTTTTTGGTTACTCAGTGGCCCCGAAAGATTCCGACTCCAACGGAAGTACGTTAGCAAACAATTATTGTACCACTCGTGTTCGAACGCTGAAGTGTCCGATCTGGAGATCGCGGGTGCCAGAATCCCTGGAGTTTCGTAAGATGCGCACTGCTGATGATTCCCGATAAGGATGAAACAACTATACAACTGATGAAACAGCGTAGATTGACATCACTTACAGAACGAAGTCTCTGTTAGCACAGTTTTTTTGGAAATCTTGTTCATTATCATCTGCTCCAAAACTCCACTCGGTAGCTAGATGTACTGCAGGACGAAACGCATTCACACGCCCGATGGATGACAACTTTTCCGAGCGCTAACAACTGAATATTAACTGCAACTGCATAATCAAGACATTTAGAATTACATTTCCAGCACCAAGACCATCATCGCTTCACTTTTCAACTCTGATGTTGGATTCACGGGAGGGATAAATCATAAATTCGGTTGAGGCAGTAAATATAATTCGGATAGTTAGTGGTAGAAAAGTGCGTTGCTAGTCGCGAAAACAAATCAGATAAGCCATAACTCAGTTCACCGTATATTACAAATAAAGTACAACACATGGCAAAAACAATATGGTTTTTGATTTTCGCTAGCGACGATCTGTTGTAATTACTGCCAACTCTAAGGTTCTCTAGTGTGCCGGAATTGGCTTGGCTATTATCTGTGGATTTTGAAGGACAGGATGATCTGCTTGAACAGGCGTCAAGTAAATTGCTCAAGAACACAGTCACCCGAATCCGCGAACAATCGGATCATATCGAGGCAAATCGTATGTTAAGTTCCTGATAGCAAACTTCGACGCACGATCCCGAAAACCAAATGGATTAATTGGGTTCGAAAGTCCACGGTATGGCTTACAGGCAAATTAACAAAGGGATACAGCGAATCCCAGCTGTTCACGTTCGCGAGGTTAACAGCTAGTCTGTCAGTAACCGACACAGCGCAATTTTGGGTTCGCACACCGGAATGGTAGCTCGGTGGCGTGGGTTAATGTTGTCCTATCTGAGCTCAGTCTCGTGATTGTCTTTGGTAGTGCGACCTCGGTGTCACGTTAGGACATGTCAGAACAGGCCGGGCAGACGGTACGCGAACACGAATGGATAAGCAGGTGCAGAATACCGATTTCAGGCGGAACCGCCAACGTGGCAAGGTGAATCGTGGGTGCGGAGATTGTGACAAGTTAGAGAATAACAAATGGAAATCAATAGGCGCACAGACGGTGTAAGTGGGTGGGGAAATCACCAGGCTACCATGTTTGACTCAATATGAGGTACCCACTATCTTAGGATCACCTTTCTTGTCATATCTTAGTGATTAAACGGTAAACATTTGGCAGACAGGTTTTTAGTGGTCCCGCTATTAACGTGATCCTCCGGCAGCTGGAAACGATAGCGATGATGATGGAAGCTCTTAAAGTGTCAAGTTGAATCTACTTCGATGCGGTGTTTGGCTTATGGTATCGTGAAGCGGAAAACACTAGTGTTTGATTTCCAGCATGAAGGTCGCGGAGTTAGTGAATTAGTTAACCGTCACGATGACCCTTTGCATGGGATCTGAGGATGCAAACGTTGCGTTACCAACTTTCGTAGGAATTACACATGCTAGCGTCTTTGAACTGCCTTCCGAATCTCTCGTTTGACGGTCTACTTCAAATGAATGTGCTGCATCAGGCTGTCTCATGTTCCAGTTGATACGATATTCAGAATATCGCAATGAATGTGCTGCACCAGGCTGTCTCATGCTCCAGTTGATACGATATTCAGGATATCGCAATACACTGTCTGAACGTAACATACCACTCACAAGTTTGCTCTCATATGCACACGAATTGGGTTTTGATAGGAAACCAGGATCCAGCTGGATTCAGTTGAGCCTCCTGTCAAAACTGAATTCGTTCGTTAAAAAATTTTCTTCGTCAAAATCTGTCCCATTTGAATTCAAGTTGAACAAGGTTGACGGAAACTCGGGACTACACCTATCCGATAAGCGACAAGAAAGACGAAACCGGTCCTGGTCTGTCGGAGAGTTCCAACAACTTATGAGTAGTGTGTTGCGCATAAGCAGAACGTTGCTGCAGATAAAAAAGGCAACGGCTAGTTAAATCATGAAGACCAGCTTGAAAATTGTCAAACATCCTAAGCCGTTTGAACAAGAGGTTGTGAGAACAGGACGCAACGTAACTACTTACTTTGACAACATTTTTAAAAGCCCTTCGAACATAAGAACAAACAAATGGGGGGTTGAGAATTTCCGTACTTCCGTTGTAATAATAATGTGATCAGTAAAGATGATTCATGAATAGAAGAAATAGTTGAACAATTATTAAAGCTGCAGGACGGATTTAATCAGGTTCCTTTTTTGGTAACGAAGTGCGATTAGTGCCAAGTGGACGATACCTCTGGGATGGTGCAGCCATACTAATCGCATGGTGCGAGAAGCCCTCCGCCGTCCAG